TGTATAACCTGACCCTGCCACTGCCTCCTCGGAGCAGTTCTCCCAGGGTTACTTGAGATGCTGCCTCCCGGGCCTAAGTCCTAAACATTTCTGCCCAATAAAACATAACTCTCAACTTTTAGGTTGTGCGTATTTTTTCAGTTGACACACTTACATGTGGAATCTAAAAAAGGACACAAACTTAGTTACAAAAGAGAAACAGACTCACAGACGTAGAATACAAACTTATGGGGAAGTATAAGAGCACACGTAGAACTCTCCTTATATGTTTAAGGGGAAGAAAATGAAAACTAGATGCCATAGGTCCTGACCTGGAGCTCAGACCCCAGGTGAGGCCAGGTAGGTGAGTACAAGCTGCCAGGGAGCCAGGACTCTGCGTCTTCTGGCCTGGGGTGGCCAGAAGGGAGTCTGCATGGTTTCCTGCAAGAGATGTGCTGACACCAACACGGCCCCTTGATCTGCCACCTAGAAGGCCAGGCAGAGTTTAAACCAAGTTGGAGGTGAGCACTTTGGAGTTTTAGGAAGAGCAGCTGGGAGCCTGTCTGCAGACCAGTGCTGGGGCCTAGGGACCGCGGGGCTGCAGGGAGAAGGGTGCAAACAAAGAACAGAGCGCTTGCTCACCACCAAGTCTACAAGGGTTAAATCGTCAGACACTGCGCCCCTGGCCAACCCACCACCGTTCACCGAGAGGGGCTCAGGAGGAAAACGGGGTGGGCACTCTGTGCTTTGGAAAACTGGCCCCCTAGATAGACACATACCTCAGGAAGAATTGTAATGACCCCAGATTCCTGCATCTTCCCACACAGAGAAAAGCACTAAAATCATGAGCTCGAGATATCTGTTCTTCGTGACTTTCACCAAGATGTGTGCTTGCTGCATGCATTTCCCTGTAGCCAAAAATTGTTTAGAAAACATCTCCTCCCCTCCCTCTTCAGAAAAATTCCCTCGAAGCTTCTGAGAGGTGGTCTCCCAAGCTACAGTCCTCAGCAAGGTCCCTGAATGGAACTAAACACTAATAACAGATTATCAGAAAGAGAAAGTAAGAAAACAGTCCCATTTACAATTGCATCGAAATGAATAAAATACCTAGGAATAAATGTCATCAAAGAGGTGAAAGACCTGTCCACTGAAAACTATAACTGATGAAAGGAACTGAAGAAGACACATAAATGAAAACACATTCCACGCTCATGGATTGGGAGAATTAATATGGTTAAAATGTCCACACTACCCACAGCAACCTAGAGATTCAATGCAGTCCCTATCAAAATCCCAACGGCACTTTTTCCCAGAAAAAGAACAAACAATCCTAAATTTGTATGGAACCACGAAAGACACTGAATAGCCAAACAAATCCTGAGAAAGAACAGAGCCGGAGTCATCACACTTTCTGATTTCAAGCTATATTACAAAGCTGTGGTAATCAAAACTGTATAACATTGGCATAAAAGCAGACACATAGATCAATGGACAGAATAGAGAGCCCAGGAATAAACTCACAGATATATGGTTCCCTTACAACAAAGGAGCCAAGAATATACAATAGGGAAAGGATAGCCTCTTTAATAAATGGTGTTGGGGAAACTGGACCACTACCTTACACCATACCCAGAAATTAACTTAAAATGGATTAAAGGCTTGAACCTAAGACCTGAAATTATAAAACTCCTAGAAGAAAACATAGGTGGTAAGCTCCTTGACATTGGTCTTGGCAATGATTTTTTGGAACTGACACCAAAAGCAAAGGCAACAAAAGCCAAAAATAAACAAGTGGGACTACATCAAACTAAAAAGTTTCCATACAGCAAAAGAAACCACGAGCAAAATGAAAAGACAACCTATGGAATGGAAGAAAAATATTTTAAAATCACATATTTCATAAGGGGTTAATATTCAAAATGTATGAAGAACTTACACAACTCAATTGCAAAAAAAAAAAAATAATAATAATACAAACAGTCTGATTAAGAAATGGGCAGAGGATCTCAATAGACATTTTTCCAAAGAAGACATACAGATGGTCAATAGGTACATGGAAAGGTGCTCAGCATCACGGATCATCAGGGAATGCAAATCAAAACCACAGTGAGATAGCACCTCACACCTTTAGAATGGCTATTATCAAAAAGACAAGAAATAACAAGTATTGGCAAGGATATAGGGAAAGGGGAATCATTGTGCACTGTTGGTGGGAATGTAAGTTGGTGCAGCCACTATAGAAAACAGTATGGCGGTTCCTCAAAAAAATTAAAAATAGAACTACCATATGACCCAGCAATTCCACTTCTGGGTATTTATCTGAAGGAAAGGAAATTACAGCCTCAAAAAGATATCTGCACCCCTATCTTCACTGCAGTATTTTTTATAATAGCCAAGACATGGAAACAAGATGGATGAATGGATAAAGGAAATGTGGTATATATACAATAGAATATTACTTAGCCATAAAAAGAAGGAAATCCCGCTATTTGTAACAAGACAGACTTTGAGAGCATTATGCTAAGTGAAGTAAATTAGACAAAGACAAATACCGTGTGATCTCACTTGCGTGTGGAATCTAAAATAACAAAAACAAAGAAAGAACACCAAGCTCCTGGATACACAGACAGATTGGTGGTTACCGCAAGTGGGGAAGGGGTGCAGCAAAGTGGGTGGATGGGGTTTAAAAGTACATCTCTCAATGGCCATCATCGAAAAGTCCATAAGGAATAAATGCTGGAGAGGGTGTGGAGAAAAGGGAACACTCCTGCCCTGTTGGTGGGAATGTAAATTGGTGTAGCCACTATGGAAAACAGCGTGAAGTTTCCTCAAAAAGTTGTTTAATTTTTTGCAGCTTTTCTACTCACCCAGGACCCAAGAGGATTTTGGATCAGTGCTCGCAATGGTCCCCACAGCCAGATGCTCAGTCCTGTCACTGTGGACAGGCCTTTAGAAACCCCAGTGAGGGAGTCCAGCTGGGCACAGACCCCAGAGCCCTCTGCAGGTGCACCCAAACCCCAGCTCCTGTGCCCGCCCTTCCCGGGACTCCCCAACCCCTCCCTCTTCCCCGTCCCCACCTGGCAGGGATGCCCTAGGCAAGTCCTGGGGCCCTGGCCCAGTGCTGCCCACTAGTCAGTGCGAGATTAGGGTCATCTTGTGCACAAGCCCCCCTCCTCCAACCCCTTTTACCCAGGCTCTGGCGTCCAGCCACTGCCTACAGGCCCTGGGCCTCCACGAATCCCCTGCCTGGACCCTTCTGTGACCATGGTCCTGTGGCCCCTCTGAAAGGCCAGATTTGGAGCTGTCAGTACTGGCCTGAGACCTTGGCTCTACCTCTTTGCCAGTTGCAAGAATTTGTTCAAGTTACTTGACCCCCCCCCTGGACCTCAGATCCCCCCGGGCTTACTCCTTGCTGAGGATTAAGTAAAATCATCAATGCAAAGCAGTTGCTCAGTAAACATTTGTTAAGGGGTGAGACCAATTCTTTCCCAGACTGAAATCCCAGGAGGATTTTATTTTGTAGGTCCTTACAAGAAACACTGCACAATGTATTGGAACTGTCTTCTGGTGGAATTTCACAAAAGATGTGGGAGCATTATTCAGGTGGCTGTGCCTTTTACTAAAATCATATGTTGGGGATAACTTTTCAAAGGCCATTTGACCGACAAAGTGGAACAACTCAGTGGGACCCAAGAGCCCCTTCGAGCAGCAGCACATGGTTTATTCCACGTGTGTTAGGACTTCACCTGGCAGAGGTCTACCTGTATTATAGGTCTGCGACAGATGGGACCACTGTGTTCGTTTTCACAACTTCCTGCTG